TCTCTCTCTCTCTTTCTCTCTCCCCCCCCGGAGGCTTGTTTCCCCCATTGGTTGCAGGCAACGGACAGGCTGGGTTAATGCACATGCCCACCTCAGCAACAATTAGCAGACATATTTCAGTTTGTCCTTCATAACATGAAATATATTAGGTAAATATCATAAAATGAGTAATTTGTAAAACAAATTGGTGGCAATATCCACCACACATAGTAAATGTTTAGTTATAAGTTGATATAATTGAAAAAGACTTGAAACGAACTGAGGGACTGAATTCCACTATGGTTGTCTTACATGCTTGGCAAAGGAACATTCTACTGAATATGCACTTACAAATGTGACCTGCACATTTTGATATAAATAATATGAATTGGCCCAAAACAGGAGGTGATTTCAATGTTAATCACATTTTTTTTTTTATCTAGGAGGTGAGTGATTTAGAATATTGCAGCTCCACGTTGCCATAAAGCTGGTGGTGAAATAACATCTGATGAACTTGAATGGACACATTCCCTGGAGCTGCTTTGATATACAGACTCATTTATGTGTATTTGAGCGTTCCCCTACTTAAATGCAGTCATTTAAAAGTTAATTTTTTGTAACTGATTGATTCGGCACAGAGCTAAATAAAGATGTTACTGAAATCAAAATGGTAGAATCCAAACAAGGGGTTGGGTCTTTGGCGCCCTTGGCCTGAAGGATGCCATATTTCCATTTGTTTTTGAGCTCTGCCTAGCTGACTGTACGTTTGGTCAGTCACTCTCCATCGGCGCCGTGTTCTGGACTCTGCTGTTTTTTGCCCCCAGTGTGTTTCCCTGGTGAAGAGCGAGACAGCAGACCTGTGTATTACTGAAACAAAGGAAGATGCAAAAGGACAGGATTGTTAGTGCTGTTCCATGAATGGTCGGCTGCCAGGACTGTATGAGCACTGATATTTTTAGCATCTTTCTCTTCTGCAAAGACATTGAGTGAGGTTGCTGGTCTGATATGTTCTGTTTATAAGGAGAGTTCTAGTGTGTCTTATTAAGAGAACTTCAGACGTAGCCGGAAGACCATACCAAAACAACAAGGGTAAATAGTCCAGTTTCCTCTGAACACCACCTGCATGCCAAAATGAGGAGAGAACATTGTAACATTGTCCACTCCTATTGGTATGGCACCAGAATGGGGACCGAAGTGTTCTTTGTGAGGTAACTGGTAACAATGTGTCTGTAATATTAGGATGAACGACGACACCCGATGTTTTTCGTAGCTTTGCCGTGTGATTTAGTACACAGAAATAAAGCTTTAATTGGCTAATCAGAGAGGCCAGGCTTTCTCTCCAACTGCTCTCGATCTCATCTGAGGAATCTCTTCGGACCTCTGCTTTGGCACTCTCCTCACGAGAATGAATGAATAAATGAATAGCTGATCCACAAGTGGCAAGATTACAAGGTGGAGCTGCAGTGTGGTCTGCAAGTCTCTGCAAGTGCTTTGGGCTGCCTCTCAAGTGAAGGGGGGAAAATGCACTTTCTGGTAAATAATTCAGCTGATGTTCAGCTTTTCCTGCCTGCTTGCCATCAAAGGTCAAGTAGATGGACAGCAAAATGTTTTTGCATACAATCAGAAAGCAAAACATCTGTTGGACTATTTCCTATTGTGATTTATTATTATCCTCTCGCCTAAGCCAACCTATGGTTTATTTTTTCCACATTTGGATAGTAGTCCATATACCAATCCAAAATATACATTTGCATCCCATAGAAAAAGTTTTGTTTTTTTTTATGTGCTTTTTGATGTCTGACACCTGATTCTTCAGTCATGTTATTTAAGGCCAGTGATGTGTATAATCTATCTTTGAATCATCAACAAAATATTATCGTAGTTCACCTGAAAATATGATTCCTTATCTCCCCGCCCCCCCACTCTGTTACACTAGTCAAAGTACATTGGAGTGGAATTGTGGGTATGACAGATTTAATACATTTATTTGGCCCTTTTCCTCCTACAGTTTTGTTTTCATAGCTTTTATGGGGGTGAATTAGAAAAAGATATATTGAATGTCATGTCAGGACTTTCCATATTTTTTTATTTTTTGAAATGCGTTTCTATTAAGGAAACGTGCCATGCTATTTCAGTGGGGAAGAGCTGTCTGAGCACCCATAGGCTGAACAGACATCACAGGGTGCCGTCCTGCCACTAACATTCGTCCATGTGGTCTTCAGATGAATGGTACAATTGAGGGCCCTGTTTTAAAGTGACCTCAGATTGTGGATCATTTTTTGCAGTCCAAAGTCTTTTTTAATTATTGTTGTTGCTATTGTTGCTGTTGTTGCTAATGTTGATGATGTTGTTGTTATTATTATTATTATTATTGTTGTTATTATTATTCCAGGTCTATAATTGCAGGGCATGTCCTCTGCTTTCTAAAGGGGCTATGCAGATTCTGCAAACAATACTAAAGAATAAGGAGAAATGGGGCCTTGTTGGGGGGCTGCATTTCTCTTGTCCAAGTTTCAGAATGTGCAAAGTATGTTAAAAAATTTCTTAAGTGTACAAAAGGGAAGAAAAGTGCTTGTACTGCAAGGTCTCTCTAATTCATGATTTATGTAGATGTATTGCTCCAAAAAAATAAAATATAGAAAAAGGATTGTTTTTATTTAAACTGCCTTTGTATTTATTAACTCAAGCAAAACACCTACCCTATCTAAGGATATATGCGAAATTGCCAGTGACAGAAAAGTGCCAGTGATTAACCCAAGTGAAACTCAGTACAGCTGAAGGTCTACTCTGTGCACTACTCTGGTCTGCTTTACCATGTGTCACCACCAGAGGGTGGCATACTGAAGCCTCATTGCTTGTGTTTTTAGACGCTTGTTTAGCCCATCAGCTGCCAACAGGGGTCAGTATGGCTTCCAACCTGGGAAGGGTTTCGGGTGTTAAGTAATTTTGGGGCCCTGACTATCTAGTTGCTCATTTCTTAAAATGAGTTGTTGTGCTGTATATCTGCCTTTGCAAACTTGTGTAGGTCAGGGTTACTATAGATGCACCCTTGTTTAAAAATTGACTTTAAAAGTTAATGCTGTTTCTATCGTAGTGCTTGCTAAGAAAGATACCAGTATACATCTGCCTGTGTTTTTTTTTTTTAAAACCAGACATGTTTAACTTATCAAACTAACTATTCCCTGATGCAATAAACATGTTAAACTGTTACCTGTTATATTAGTCATCATTTCTGCATTGGTAAGTTGTATCTACTGTATACAATAGTCTCGCACTTTAACAAAATGTTTTTTTTGCATAAAACCATAAGCTAGCAGCAGGGAGATTGGCAGTGCAGTATATATATAAAACAAAAGCTGCTTACTGAATTACTTTACACTAGTATCATTTTCAAATTATGTTTATTAAATATAAAACATTAGTTTGCATTTTGTTGCAGTTTGAAGGTGAACATAAAAATGCCATTGTAGTGCATTTTAAAAACTGCAAACATTAACCACAGCAATATGCAACTATTCAACGTATCAAAAAATTAGAACAAATATGTGCAACATTAAAGCTGCAATTTTGTGCAGCTGTTCAGAATAATAAACACAGCAGAAAAAATGGTGCAGGGACTTAATTTCAGCTGCAAGTTATTACTGGTTCCTAATGTCCCCTGTAGAATGCAGCAACTTTGATCATTAATGACAGTGTTAATTGTTCACGTAATACAACAAGTGAGAACTGCAGTAGGGCTGTGAAATATAATCACCTGTTGCTGAAATGAAATGTTTGATTAACCGTCGTCAAGGTTACATTGCACTACCCCTAAACCAGTGATTCTCAACCTATGGGTCACAAACCAAATTAGGGTCGCAGCATGTTCTGAAGGGGTCGCATGGCAGAGTTGGAAATGTAAGCATTTTAAAAACAAGCTCCTATGCTGATCCATGATCAGATTTCCCAGCTCCAATCCTAGAATTAACCTATATAAACAGGTCTTTGGTCTGCAAATCCTTAGTGCAAAACTAGTGAACACCCAACCAATCCAAGAAGCCAAACCACAGATGCTTAATTTAAAATTCATTAGCACATCCTATCAGATTTGTGCGAATGGCATTGATTAGCATAAATTGCAGACTACACTGCATGCTTGATCATAGCATTAATTTAAACCTATACTTGATATAGGGTTGTGACTGAGCTGGCATGGTAAAAATTGGGTGGTGGAGCAAAAAAGGTTGAGATCCACTGCACTAAACAACAGAATGATAGAAGAAGGAGTGTTCCTGTTGAAAATGAATCATCATGAACAAGATGGAAATGACCTACTGGCAGAGAGATTGTTCATATATGTCATTTATGTACACTGAGAATTTCCTTATTTAAAGATGTTATATACATCAGCGTTCATCCCTTCGGTCCATGGTTCCTGCTCTGGTGTAAACATCATGAAGCCCATCTCTTTTCCATGCTGGTTGGCTTTCACACCTGAGGTGGCTTCAAAGCCTAAGAACAGAGGACAACTTGTTACAACTTAACCAGACAGCCAATCAATGTAGCCAACTGATAATGAAATGATTTCATTTGACAGCACGGTGCTCATTGTTCAAGACAAAGTGATACTGGTATGTTAATTTGGCACCCTAGGCAGTCACCAATAGTAGTGTTTCTCAAATGGTGGGTCACAACCCAAAAGCGGTGATGGAGTGTATGGTTATAAAAAAATAATATACACCCCCCACTCACCAATGGTTGACAACTTTTATCATGAATTTGTGTCGTGATTTACTGACCAAGGTATAATGAATGAATGCCCTGAGGCTAAACAAGTTCAGAACCACTGGCCTATAGGATTGACCGGCCCTGAGTACTATTTCTTTACTATAGATCTTGTTTTGGTATAAACCTTCTTGGTTTTATCCGTGTTAATGTTTTATCTGCCATCTTTACCTTTCTTGCAGCAGCTAGGTTAATCACCTGTGACCCAGGCTGTAAGGAGACAGGAGGTGGAGGTATAGGTGGAGCTACAGTCGGCTTGGGAACCTGAAATGAGTTTTGTTGGGTCAGGGACTAAAATGTGCCAGTTTGCATAGCTTTAGTAGTATGTGGAACTGCTGAAGGCAAGGCGTATGACAAAATATACACTTACGGCTGGGCGATATCATATCGATATTATATCTCCCAGTCCAACACTCAGTATAGAGATGTACTAAATGGAATCATTGGACTTAGCAGCCTTGGTCAGTGTCCCAAATATCATTTTGCTTCACTTAAATATAACAGAGAAAATAGTTATTTTTTTCTTTTTTAATGAATATGTAATTTGTTCAGTATAGCATAAGTGAGAATTTGTGGAAATACTACTGAGAAAAGTTACTTCCTGTTTTTTTTTTTCTTTTAGGATAAAGTGAGACAGCATTGTCATATTGATACAATTTCTTTATTATCGATATTGTTTTCATGGCAAATCTAGGTATTCTCCTGTTTTTAAAATTATTATTATTAAATTAATCTGACATCATTACCTGTCTTGTAGCAGCTGATTTAATGGCCTGTGACCCAGGCTTGAAGGAGACAGGAGGTGGAGGTATAGGTGGAGCTACAGTCGGCTTGGGAACCTGAAATGAGTTTTGTTGGGTCAGTGACCAAAATGTGCCAGTTTGCATAGCTTTAGTAGATGGGGAACTGCTGAAGGCAAGGCGTATGACAAAATATACACTTACGGCTGGGTGATATCATATCGATATTATATCTCCCAGCCAAACACTCAGTATAGAGATGTACAAGATTTTTGAGACCTGGCTAATATTACAGTGTTTGTGAACATTTTGTGGTTTTTGAATGGAACGGAAAATCTGTGTTCAGCACGGCTAGCTTCTCTGTTTCCTATTTATTAGTTGTCATTTCTCATTTTTCTATTGCACTACTGTTTGTTCTGTCCACCCACACACCCATCCTTCCCCCTGCAAATATCAAAAGAATTTCACTGCGTTCCTTGGAACACATGTGACACTGAAACTTGAAATACAGTCACGTGGAGGGAGTTGGGACAATTTGTTACCTTGACTTGGAAGTTTGGCGTCGATCGTTGGCTAAAGGCAGGATTGTTTACACCGGAATCCATCTCCTCCCTGTAACGTGCAGGTCTGAGGCAGGGACAAAAGAGGGAGGATGAGTTGTCTTGGATCCTGGTCCCTAAGGGTGTACATGGCATACAGTGTCTGAACTCACGTACCTGTGGGGAATTGAGCTTTTGCGTTTGCGCTTCAGAACATAGAGCAGCACCACAATAATGGCAATTATAATCAGCAGGCTGATTACCACTGTGATGGCAATAATCACTCCTGAAACAAGACCACATGGTATTCTGTCAGTGCTGGCAGCTCATGATAATACACTTTGCAATGTTAGGGCCATATTAAATGTTAATATGTGGATATTTAAAACACTTGATTATTCTAATTGATATACTTCTTCTGGAACATTTCCCATCATGGCTGACATAAAACAGCTGGTCGCATTCTGTTGCTACCACAGAGAAAATTAACATATCGAGTTTTTATCTGCATGTTTTTCAATAGATCATTGACCTTGTCAGGTTTGAAATACTTTATGGAACATGAGTTGGTAATGTCATTAGTTGGGTAACAGTGAGCTGCTGTTCTTCAGATATGCTCCATTTTCACCGTGGATTGAAATGTGAAAGCTACCGCTCTCTGTTAATGCCTGCCTCTGTATATCACAATGAAATGGCCAGTCGGACAGCCAGTTGAAAAAGAAAAAAAAAGAAAAGTGAAATGGCTTGCCCTGAGGTAATACTTCATGTTTGACATCTAGTTTAAGACACATGCAGGAAATAGCTGTGAACTGACCCGGAGCCAGTTTCTGGAAGCCCTCAGCCATCCGATCACAGTCAGGGGGCTGCCATCCCGGCTGACACTGGCATTCCCGCCTGTGGTTGCATACCTGTAGGATGTGATGTCACTGTGTTTATGCTGGGCGCATAAATAACCGTGATGCTAGAGATGTTATGAGAGAAATCTTTACAAATTGCTTCATTCCATGTGTTTGGCTGCTGGAGTCATATGTGGCATGGAACAGTGCTTACTGACACGATACAGCATTAGCAGCTTTGCAAAATGTGCCCAGCAAGATATAGTAAAAATGAGAAGCAGTGGCAGCTATCAAGATCAACACTTCTGTATTGATTAAACGGTATTCAGTACCAAGGCTCTTTTCCTGTTGCTCTGTTTTACCGATTTTATCTTGTCACATTTGAATCTGAATAATCGGGCTGGTTCTGTCCCTGCAGGATCCCTCATCACTGAGTTCTGCAGAAGCAGGCTGCCTATTGAGCATGTTCTGTCGGCCAAAATCCCGTGAGCTTACTGCATTGCCTTTGCACCGTGCTGAACAATTGGTTGCTCTGTAGGCCGCCTCTAGATCTACACACTCGTTGTTCATGCAGACCTGGGAATGACAGGTTTGATCAATCGACACAAAAATCCTGACGAAGTGTGGAACATTCACACAATCACAGCTTATTTTCACTCACTTTCTTGTTTACCTCTAGATAACCCTAGAAGGATGGCTATTGTCTTACCAGTCCATCACTGCATTTGGTCCCAGTGTCCACCTGTCCAAAGTCAGTGTTCGGGTCATCGCTGAATATGGCTTTGCAGCCAGGGAACGATACCAGACGGTTATAGTTGGGGGTGTCTTTGCCATTGATACAGAACAGCTTTCCGCACTTCACATCCCTGCAAGGAAAATGAGAGAGCGCAGTAAATCCTAGTCCATTACGGAGTACAGTCCTGAATAGGAGGCTCTAACTGTCAGTCCATACTTTTTCTGGCATCCTATATAGGTGTCTTTGGATGGACGTGTGCAGAATCCATAGTAGACCCCTCTGGTGTTCTGGTTGTAGCAACTATCAGCTGCCAGCTGAGCATCTGTGGAATAAAGATCTTTTAGATATTGCTGGTTTGTCACTTACTGTGTGCATGAGTGCTGAATGAGCCTGATGAGTGAGTGACTTTCAGTGAAGAGATGAGCATGACAGGAAATAAACTTACTGCTCCCCCAGATCTTGATGCACTGACTTTCACGCATAGGACACTGTCCATTGTAGCAGTAGCCCTGCCCATTCTTGCAGGGAATGCCATTTACAGAGAAGACATCCTCTGGGCAATCTTTCGACTTCCCTGTGCAGTACTCAGCCAAGTCGCACTCATCCTTCTGCGATCTACACATCCTGGAGGGAGGCATGAGCTGCAGAAAGAGCGTGAGTCATGAAGAACTCATTAGCCTGCAAAATTTACTAAGAAATTCAGAACTGGACTTGACTATGTCTAATTTCTAATTAATTTAATATTTTGAAATATATATTTGAACACAGGAAAGTTGACTTCCGTCTGTGAGGCCTATTTAGGCCCACATACCATTTAATTGCATAGTTTATTATGCTCATTAAGGAAAGGACAACAGTTATTTATCAGATCTTTTATTAACTGCATAGTTCTTGCTCTCTTGGGTTCCTGTGGTATCCTCACCAGTTCCCCCAGGAGCCATGACTGAAGTGTGGTTCAGTGGAGAGACAAAGAGGTGGTACGGGCTTCCCTGAGCCTTTTTATACTCTGGCTGAGGAATTCTGGGAAAGGCTGGGGCTGATCATGTGGATGTTTAAGGGGGGGAATGTATTTGTTTATTTCAGTTGGGAAGATTAGAGATATACAGTAAGTTCCCGGAATGGTAAAGTGCTGTTGCTGGCATGACTTTGTAAGGTCATATGGTATCCATGGCTATTCTTTGTTACATGTGCAAAACTAGGTTTCTAGTGGGAAGGAACCAAGAGAGGTTCCCCTACCAGAGTTTGATGCTTGGCCCCTAGGGGTGAAAAGGATGGTTATCCCCTGTTGCTGGGAGTTTATTGTTGTTTTGATCGCATTGTTTGATTGTTGTAACACCGGAATATATCTGTTAACTGTTTTTTTTTTCTTTTTTTTTACCAGAAACAGTCAGTAAATAGTTTCCAAGCTCAAGCTAATAAACCTGTGAACTCTGACTTTTGAAGCCCTCTGGTTACATCACCACAGTGCTCTTTATTTTTTTTTAGAAGCAGATGGTAAAATCCATAGCGCTGTTTGAATGTGCATGGCTCAGGTGTCAAAGGCAGGTATGGGGTTATATCCCTAAATTCCAATTAAAGCCCTTTATTTTACATGAATATTACATTATTAATTCCTCCTTTTGACTGTATTCCTCTCCTGATGCTTAACAAATGTAATCATTTATCAATGAAATGCTAATGATATCTTCAATGACTGTAAAAGGCTTTGCTAGGCTTTCGCAGTGGACAGACAGCCCCGGCTTCCCTGACCTTTGCCCTCAGTGCCGGCAGGTAGCTTACCTTACAGTTTTCACAGCATTCTCCTTCTTCACATTGTGACCCGGCCGTTAATGTGCAGGTCGTAGCATTGCAGCAGGGATTATTGCATTCCTGTCAAATATAAAAAAACAGTAACAGTGTCAGGATTATTACAACTTGTCATATTCTCTCCTGCCTCTAAATTCAGCCTCTAACACAACCAGTATGAAAGTAGCCCCAGGCAAACTCTTTGCCTCATACAGTATCATGCATTTTTTGAGATGATTACATTCTGGAGATCACACATGAAATCTTGGAAGTCCATGGAATTTCCTTTGTGTATCATAGGAATGTGCTAGGAAAGTGAGACCTGTTCTTCCTGCCTCAGCATGGAGTGTTTTTTGGATTATGGGTAGATTGCAGAAAGTGTCTTTCACAAGTTGCGGCAGGACGGCCACTGGAATGCATGCTTGTCTTGAAGTATAATTCCATAGCAGTTTTGAAGATGTTCTGTCATGTCTGGACATTATCACCAAGAGCCCGAAGTCTTTATGATTTGTCCTATCTAGGCTTAAACTAAATTATGTCACAAAATTGTCACAAAATCTGCAAGCACAAAAAATACTGTTCAAATATTTTCATTTGCTTTCTTCAGGTAATGTATTCATATTGCTTACATTTATATTTGCATGATTATTTAGTTTTTCAGCCTGGAAAAGGCTCTAGGCCCCTATAATCCTGAGCAGAAGAAGCGGATAGAAGATGGATGGATGATGGATGGATGGATGGATGGATGGATGGATGGATACTTAATCTTTCGCCGGTAGATGGATGTTTTAACCAACTGTGTTCTGGTTTAAGTAGCACCCAAATGCTATCTCTGATCTTGTTTGCTGTAACCTCTGAAATGATAATAGCTTCAGAATGCACTGGCAAGTTCAAGCCAGAGAAGGCAGCACATTTAATTATGGAATAATTGTGCAGATTACACCGCATGTGGTCTCCAAAACATGAAGGTCATTTTCAAACAGCTATGGAATGGACAAGACCTTGGTGGTTAATGACCTGGCTTCTGTCACATTGAAGTACTACACAGGAGAAACTACTACAGTACTCTCAAATGAGGGGACTAATAGCTTACCAATCTATGTAAAGTAGTTAAATAACATTTTCTTTACTGGATACTGTATCTGTTCTGATATCCTTCTGAGTGCTGGATATTCAACACATTTCAGCTTTTTGTTGTTCCTTTTCCAGCCATTACTGAATATGGAGAATGTGTAAGAGATGATTTCTTCAAATGACAGGAGAAAGGAGGTACCTCAACTGTGCCACAGTCACACTCCTCCCCCTTCTCCACGAAGCCATTCCCGCACACGGGCGGCGATATTATCGCGTTGTAGTCCGGCTTGTTAAAGAGACACTGTGGGTTTCTGGAATCCAGATACTCCCCATAGCTGTTACTGCTGCAACTGCTGAAATGCTTCGGGATGTTGTACCTGGAAAGAGCATTTCAGTTACGCACAGATCTTCCTATGAAAGTGGTGCATGACTTGATTTACTGTAACTGTACCCAATGGCCATTGTATTAGATATACCTATCTAGTACCAGGTAGGACCCTGCTTCAAGGTTCAATCGCTATAGAGACGTGTCGTTTTGCACACAAACTGTTGTAATGAGCTGTGCACTTGGCCTGCTTGATTGCTCATTTCTTCATGTTATCATTTCCCTCTGACTTCTCACATTTACAAGTCCCCGGATGGTACCTGTTCCTGAGATGCTGGAGCCACCATGTCCAAAATTGCTTAGGTCACATGTCCTTGCCAGTCTAACGATTAGTCAAGAAGTAACTGAACCTCTTGAGCCTGTCGCTCTGGTGTATATGTTGCGTTGCAGCCATTTGACTGGCTGTTAGGAAGAGCAGGCTGCTTGTGTAGCGAGCAGGTGTGCCTAATAAAGTGGCCACAATAATGGAACGTACTATAGGCAGCCTTCAGGTTGTGAACGAGATCTGTTGAATTTGTAGGTATGTTTGTAGGTATTTGTAGTAACTACATATGGTACTATATCCCTAGCCGACAAGGCACTAAAGCTGTGCAATATTTTCACGAGTGTCACAGAAGTAGTGCATGCATTCATTATCACAAAGCTATGTATGTAACCTGATTTTTTTATGTAATAGGCTTTATGGCAGTCCATTCATAGGTGTGAGCTGACTGTAAGTCGGTTGTTATTAACCCAGGGACTCCCAGTCCTGATTTCAGCTGTCACAGGCCTCCATCAGAAGTTATTTTGGCTATAAGATCACCACCAAGAACTGGTAGCCTGCAGATCACAATCTTGTCACTATATTGGTCTCACTGGAATTAATTTGGAGGGGCTCTTACGAGAGGGCGGCAGACATGATGCAGCTCTTGTCAGTGCAGATGCATGAATCGCTGTCATGGCTCATTCCCAGGTTGTGCCCCATCTCATGAGCCAACGTTGCTCCCACCGCAATGGAACTGGAGCTGTGATCCTGGGGAAGACCATATTGGAAACAGCAAATGCTCCTCAGTGGGTTAGCAAGTTGCATGATTTTTCAGTCTAAAATGTGCCTTTGTGTTTCTCTTCTGCAAATGTCTTTCCTCCATGCCTGTGTCTGTCAGCCATTGAAATAAATGAACATACAACACCAATGATTGTTGCTTTACCTCACTTTGTGTTAGCACAGAACTAATGGAATGCATGCACATGTCATTCTAAGATGTCATTTCATAGTGGCTGTGATGTGATACTGTAAGAGTACCTGGATCACTCCTGTTGAATGAGTTGCGCAAAAACTGCCCACGTATGCCAGTCCCACGGTGCTCCCTTCGAAATCGATGCCCCTGTGAGGAGATGCTGTGTAAATAGCTGACCCGGTTGTGAGTGTGGTGACATATTTATGTTTAGTCAGTGTGACTGTAATGTTCAGACCCACGTTAGCAGATGAGCATTGTCATGTTGCTTCACCAGAGAAGTCTTCCTCCAGTTTGTGAAAGCATCCAGAGTTGCTCCAGCAGGGGGTGTCACTGCAATGTTGTCCTGGTCTGTCCACACCTCAAGCCCAGTGAGGGCAATAAAAGTCTTGAGAGGCTTGTAGACCTGCGCATATGCCAAAGGGGGGTATTGATCTAAATTAATTACTCCTACAGAAGTACTTCAGGTCCCCCCAAGGCTACTTCTTTTCTTACACCATAGGCGGTACTACACCATGGGGGGGGGAGGCCTGAGCCCCCCCCCCTCATTTTTTTGGTTTCAGCTTCCCTGAATTTTTTTTTAAAACCATTTAGTCATTTGCCCTGTATTTCTGTATACATTTCATACCCCCCCCCCCCTCATCTAGGCAAATTTATTCATGGGGAGGGAGGCATCCTGTATTTGTTGAGCGTCCATATGGAACAAATCCTAGAATCATCCCTGTTTCACACAAAAAAAAATGCAGAATTACTTTCTACAGGGACTGACTTCCATTCCAGGGTGTGTCCCTGTTTGTGTGCTTTGTGCTACCTGCCAAGCTCCGCCACCCCCCGTCCCCCAACCCAGACCAGGATAAGCAGCCAGAAGAAGGTTGGATATATTTTGTACTGGATATAAAACAATACAATGATTAATACAATGATTATCACTAACACTGCAGAATGTGTCACCAGTGATATGATTTTTCGCATTAAAAATTATACAATTGTCTTAGGAATTTTTCTTCTTCCTTAAATTAGTCATTAATTACAATGACTCACCAGGTTGACGTAGTTGACAATTTCAAATATCCTCTTTCTCAACTCATTTTCGTTGCTATTCATCTTCTTGTACTGAAAGGAAATGTGGTCTCTGTCATATATGGAATACTCCTTTCATAGTATGACAAAAGATATTTTTTACAGGTTTTAATCTGCAAACACCTGTTTCAAAAACAATCCAATACATTTTTCTAGGACGCCACAAATATTTTTCTCTAAACATGGTAAACTGTACTTGGAGTTAAATGAATGATGACTTCTCTGAATTCATGACACAGGTGAATAATATGCTAGCAGTGTTGAAATCATTAGGTAGAAATCTGTGAAAGGCGGCTTTGCTCCTCGCAGTACCTCTCTATTATCTGCAACGAGTAACAAGTCCACATATTTCTGCTGCTGCAGGAGTGATGGTCCCTGCAGGGAAAATACAAAAAGAGGGCTCTCGTTTGGCTCTCGTTTGGCTCTCGTTTGTAGACAAAACAAATGACACCATTGAGTTCTGTCCTTTCAGGGCTGTTTTGTTTTGTTTGCACTGAGTAAAGATGTTGGCATGTAGATGTTTGAGTTGCGTGTGACTCTGTGGGTGGAGCAGGGATGTTTGGTTACTGTGAGTGTTTGGGTGAGATGGCTGTCTTACTGAGCTGCGGGAACGCGCTTTGCCTGTGGACGGTGGGTAGACGGGGTCCCAGCTGCTGTTGGTGACTCCACACACTACAGGGTCTTCATTCAGAGCCTCGTATCTGGCCAAGGCGTGGTCTCCATCATCGGCCCCCGACATCGGTTCTATCAGATACTGCTGTGCAGCTGTCCGGATATAACCCCTGGTGACAATGGTCAGAAAGCAAAGCTATTTGCTTCTATAAAGTCAACCTTGTTGACTTTAACGCCTTTGTCTAAACAACAATTTAAAAGCAATAATCCACCAACAGACATAACTTCAGGCCTTTGAACCGGTATAAATTACTACGCATATTTACACTCACAATGGCTACCTTGCATTATTTTGTTCTTACGCACAGTTCATCCTTATCGAGTGGATAGTGAGAAATATCACAGAGGTGTAACCACTACCTCAAGCCATCACAAGTGCTGATGCTGGCAATGGACTCTGTGTCATTCACTATTCTTCCATGGTAGTAGCAGTGGTCCTGTATGGGAGAAAATGGTGCAAGAAATTAACATTAACCATGTTGTCCTCTACGTGTCAACTGGAGACTTTTAGTAAAAATTAAATTTTGGTTATTTTTGGAGTTAACCACATCACTAGTGTGCTTTTGTATAACTGCTGCTTTATTTCCGATAAAAGATGCATCATAATTCATTAATGATGAACAATCATGACATCAGTGTTTCACTTTTATCCATTCCTTGTTCTTTCTTTAGTTTCTTCAGTAGTTCCTTCGGTAGTTCGCAAAGATTCACAGAAGAAATATAGTAGTAAAAGATACAGTATGTCACAATTCATTCATGATGAATGAACATGAGATCAGCATGTGAATAAGATTAAGTTTGTGGTTAATTATTACATAAGTAATAGCATAGTACTACATTATTTGTACCGCCTCCAGTAAAGTGTTACTGTAACCTTTACTGCCAGGGGGAATTCTGTGCTCTTACATACCAAGTCCTTCGGAGTGACAGTGATAGGGGCCCCATTCTCACTGTAGGTTGTCTCACTGTAACCTTTAGTCAGCAAGTCCCTGTAAAAGGTATAACTTCAATGTACTAATATGATACTAATAATGATACATACAGGATGTCGGCCTCATAAATGCCTCAGAAAGGAAGCGCGTACTTTCCCAGACACAGTCTCCAATCAACTGCTGAGTATCGTGGTAATGTTTACTTTACTACCCACAAGATTTCAGAGTTGCGGATTGTAACTGCGATAAGCAGGCAATTTGACTAACGTCTGTCCATTGACGACCGACAATGATGAAAGAAGTGTTGCATTTCCTCTCAGTATTGCTGTAATTCCCTGCAATAGTGACAGAGTGACATTGAGGATGTGAAAGAGAAGTGGCTTTTGTGACCAGTCTAGTCCATCCATCCATCTTCAAAATATAATTCTTGTGTTAGAGT